TATATATATATGTGTGTGTGTGTGTGTGTGTGTGTGTGTGTGTGTGTGTGTGTGTGTGTGTGTGGGTGGGTGGGTGTGCCCATTCTATTCGTATTCATAAAGAAAGCACAGTATTACTGGGCAAACCAAGCCTTTATAAAGATAAAATTTATATACAGAGATGATTTATATTGTCCACACATACTAGTTATTGTTAACATGGTGATATAATACAGTTTTATACATACAGTGTGAATTATAAACACGGTATCCGGAAGTTACGTTAACAAAATTGTTTACATGTGTTTCAGAGACAGGAAGTTTGTACACCTACCACAACAGCTAGTATACTTCTATTAGATACTTTGGTAGACTTGTGGAGCATGAACAATGTGTGCTATATTGCTTCACACAGTCGGAAACAAAGGTTAGTAATTTTTTCGTGTAATTTTGGGTCACTCTGTAATCCAAGTGAAGCCTTGATTAATCTAGGCTTCCGTTCAATCTCTCCGATGAACCCTTAATGTCTTATGAATAATGACATTCCAATATACTCTGTCTGACTGATGCATCATTAATGACCGAGTGTCTTATGAACAAAATAATCTGTGACAGAACACTTTGTGAGAAATGGCTGTCACACCACTGATGCGTTATATTTTGCAAGTTCTCTATGAAACCTCTGAAATCATTCCAAATCAAATTTATTAAAGTTACATACAGTATTCCGGTACCACTTCAATACTGGACAGCTGGAATATCTTAAGGGCCCTGTTCAATTATGAAAGTGGATAGTGAATAAACCGAAGTTTATACCATATAAATCCCATTTCAACTTCTAAAACTTGCACGGCTATCATAAAACTAGACTGTTTCTAAGAGTATACTATTTAAACATTAAGTTCGGATTTTGCAAGTTACTACACGTACTGTATTACGTTAATAGCTTTGGTGCTGTTGCTGCTCCTTGAATAGCAATTTGTCAATTTCTATCAAGGGTTCAGTAACTGTTATAAGCAAAATTTAAAAATATATCACAAAGTCGAAGATGGTAAAAGCTCCGTGAAAACAAAATTGTAAGAATAATTTAATAGTAAGTTGGGGCGTTTACAGCAAAATATTTTCAGCTCATTTTACCACTGAAGATTATTAAATATACCATAAGGACATGTTATGTTTGTTTGTTTGTTTTTGAATTTCGCGCAAAGCTACACGAGGGCTATCTGCGCTAGCCGTCCCTAATTTAGTAGTGTAAGACTAGAGGGAAGGCAGCTAGTTATCACCACCCACCGCCAACTCTTGGGCTACTCTTTTACCAACGAATAGTGGGATTGACCGTCACATTATAACGCCCCCACGGCTGAAAGGGCGAGCATGTTTGGTGGGACGGGGATTCGAATCCGCGACCCTCAGATTGCGAGTCAAGCGTCTTATCCACCTGGCCATGCCGGGCCGGACATGTTATGAACAGAAGCTGCACGATATGTAACTATGTGATCGCTCAACACCCTTAGTAGCTATTCATAGTTGGAAAAGTATTTAGAAACACTTAAATTATTTTTCTGGAATACGGGTTACACTTAAACTGGAAAGATTATTCACAGTGGTTTCACCGTATCTTTTCAATAATTAATTGAAACTTTCGAAAGGTTTATCACATAGAACTAGTAAGCTTGAAAAAAAAATGCCACACCCCATATGGGAGTGTACGGAAAGTGATGAATTGTAGCATCATAAATATTTTGTGTGTTACTAACCCGTTGTAAAAAAACATGTCTAAAGTCTGTGTTTTGCAGTGGGTGAACGTTACATAAAACATCTTTGTTGCTACAGATCTCCACTTTCCGTGCACTTCTTTATGGGGTGTGGTTTTGAATAACCCTATTAAAAGTCTCTCTTCAAACAGGTATCGTGATGTTCGTATAAAGAAATCCAGTCATACGAAAGATAGACGTATGGAAATAGACATAAGTGCAGATGTTTTAAAGAAAACAAACGAACACTGCGTCTATTTCTTTGTTTGTCTTATAGTTTTCGAAATTTCTGAAATTTAAGTACAACTGCAACAAACAAAGTCAACAAAATTCATTGAATTTGTTCAGGTGTACCGAGGCATTCTAGCTAACAATATATCTGTATTAAATTATTCCTCAACGGGGGTGCTATAAAAATGACGTTTTAAATAGAAAGCTGTTTATTATTAATTTTTCAGGAATTATGAATATCTCAATTTTCTGATCTGAGGAAAACACTTAGCCATCTTGTGAAATACATTGTCCATTCTTTGTCACCTTAATTTGATATAATTATCATGACGTTATGTGTCTGATGTTAATACAGCGTGGCTCAGGAACTAGGGGAGCAATAGCTCCCCTTAGATCTATGTAGAGGGAGCAAACGGGAGTGACAGCAGTCACTCTCAAGTAGAGGAATTACCAGGGACCAAATAACAATCAAATTTCCAATTAGTGATTCTAAGTTTAAATTTGTCAACATTAAAAAAACGTATATATTGTATAGTGTCACTAGTTATTCAGTAAAAATACCCTCCAAGTATCAGTGATACATAACAGTTTCTAATTCATTAAAAATCGCTCCAATCGACATTGAGGAAGTTTCTGCTACACTGTGTAGTAAATAAGGTATAGTAACTACTTCTAGCTGTAATAATCTTCAGATTATACACGAAATCTGCCTGACTTGGGCCGATAGAACATAATAAGCACTACCACAGTGTTATTCCCTACTTACACAAAATACATTTTGAAACATACAAGATAATTTCTTACCTCCTGCTGCCAGGAGCTCCTGAGGACTTCTAGAATTTGCTTCATCTCCAAGTTGACCAGGTCGATGATTTTCTGTCATAGATAAAATACATTTTTCGACACGTCAAGCAACGAAGAACTATTATCCGTAATTGTTAGATCGTCCACGGAACATAAATATCTACTTACATAGTTTGTGTATCAAAACAACTTCACTATATAGACCATAAAATTCGTTATAATACATCTATACAACAATTATACATATGCAGAAACTTTTGTTAGAATTTTTAGCTCATTGGGAACTTCATTTTAATTTATGGCACCATACATGGGTACCTTCTTTATGGTCTCTAATACTCAAGTTCTAGTGCCACTTTTTTATGTCAACTTTATAGGTCATTTGAGAATATCCGAAAGACAGCAAGTGGCGTAAAGTTGACCTCCTACGTTGATCGAACTTAGGTTTTTCTCCCAAAGAAGATTGTAAATTTGCTCAAATCTACTTTATGGTGTGATTATTGTATTGACTAGAATAGCTTGGTGGCTTTGGATCATCCGTTTTAGATCACTTAAAGGTCAAGTTAGGTCATTTTAGGTTTTATTCACTAAATACTCTTAATGTGACCAACACATATTTCAATATTGCCTTCTTTCGGGCAATGTAACTTTTAAACCACGAAATGGAAACAATTTTTATTTTGTTTACACATGGAGCTATTCATTACCATTGGTCAACAACAAACAACTGATAAAAACGTGTGAAGCTGTTGCATTGCTTGCGCATGCTAGGAAGTGTGTGTGAAAACATAAAGTATGTATTTCATCATGAAATCAGTAAATGAAAGTAATTATTTATACGTCACCATAACATGATAACATGCTTATTCATGTATTTTTCACATTCCTTTCAAGGTGAAGTATATACCATCCCGTATACGTCTGAGAACATTGGTGTAGAGATATTGCCCAGGGATGGTATACGTCTGAGAACATTGGTGTAGAGATATTGCCCATACTAAACAAATCAGACGATATTTGGAGCTTTGTCTCCTTAAATGTCCGTACTTGGATGCATTAGTTCTAATTAATACCGGCGTACTTTATCTATTTACAGTTAACTCTGGCTTCTGGATAGAACGCTTTATTTATTTTTAATGCTGGTGTTCGGGTGCAGTTATTAAGTCCCCTGGTGGTTGTATTATACATGTACATAAACAATACGTCTCTTTGCAGAACCAAAGTATCATCGAGGCCTATGAACCAACTTAGGCGGCTATGAATGTAGTCTACAAAATTCAGAGTTATTTACCTGACTATGTAGAAGACATGCATGAGGGCGTACCTTATTGTTTTCTGTTACACAAATAATAATGATAAGCTTTCCACACACCAGGTTTTAAGTAATTAGAAAGGTAAAATGTCCGTTTTTTAAAGTTTTTGTTCGTATCAGAATATATCTTAAATGAACACACAAGTTTTGTGTGAAAAAACATTAAATAAATATTGACAGGATGGTGATAACGAACCTTAAGTATGAAGTTTAAATAACTGATTATAATGACACTGTTTAATTATCGGCTGATAATGATTTTTGCTTCAAATGCAGTTAAATGTGAGAAAACTGGATTACCACATGAACTGTTAGATGTAAAAGTTACTTTTATCCTGTAAAACTGTATAAAGTATTACAGGTACTTTCCTATAAATATAGTACAAGACACTTAAAGACAAACTAACGCGTGTATTGCTTCATCTGCCGAAGAATTTCATGTTTGATATTAATAAGTTGTTTTCGCACTTTGTCCACCGCGAACCCCGGATTTGTAAGTCTCACCGGAGAGCGACGTATTAATAACATCTGCTTGTAATATTGGATTACCTTAATTAAGTAGGTTCAATAGATGGAAATTAGGTTCCAACATTACACAACGACAGCTGTCTTAAATTAACCATCACATGACTATAATGTACGATAGAGCGACGTATTAATAACATCTGCTTGTAATATTGGATTACCTTAATTAAGTAGGTTCAATAGATGGAAATTAGGTTCCAACATTACACAACGACAGCTGTCTTAAATTAACCATCACATGACTATAATGTACGATAGATATGTTGGAAAAATAAATAAAACTCAATTCAAGGAAGAAATATTCTTTTTTTCCGAAATAATTTCTGCACTTTTAGTGTAAACTAGTCTCCATAATACTGAAAATAAATTGTGAACTTTCCGTAAAGGTTTCTGATGACATCATTACTGAATTGACCTTACTCTACAGGAAAAAAAAGGGGGGGGGGGTTAGTTCCCCGTCCTAGTAAATTGGTCCTACATAAAACCTTATGTTAATACAAAGAGGATTTATTTCATATTTGTTTTTTATATAGATTCTAACTTGTTGTTTGTACTCTTTGAATTAAAAAGTATCTCTCTATCTCTCTCTGTATATATATATATATAATTATATATACATATATATATACACACACACACATGCATTTGAGCCTTTGACCTCTAAATGATCTTGAAGTTCAAAATAAATAAAAAAAAGGTGGCATAAGACTTTTTCTAATTACCCACAAATGGACAATAATATAATACACAGTGCCACAAATCATCATAAATTGGGCGGTAGATGCAGTTAACTAGTCGCCTTCCCTCTAGTTTATCAATTCAAAATTAGGAACGGCTATGCGCAGATAACCTATGTGTAGCTTAGCGCAAAAATTCTGAAAGAAGAAAAAGTAATTCCAATACAGACAGCGCTTCATGCTCAAATATATTCATAAATTCCGCTACATTCCAAACGTCCGCTCAACACCAGTAACATGCTAAAGTAAGTGGTAACACACGTGAATATTTCTACAGTTACTAAGGTCTAAGTAATTCCAATACAGACAGCGCTTCATAATTCCATTATAGACAGCGCTTCACGCTCAAGTATATTCATAAATTCCACCACATTCCAAACGTCCACCCAACACCAGTAACATGCTGAAGTAAGTGATAACACACGTGAATATTTCTACAGTTACTAAGGTCTGAGTAATTCCAATACAGACAGCGCTTCACGCTCAAATATATTCATAAATTCCGCTACATTCCAAACGTCCACCCAACACCAGTAACATGCTGAAGTAAGTGATAACACGTGAATATTTCTACAGTTACTAAGGTCTAAGAGAACATTTTATTATGCAGTAGGTGATAATGAAAAGAAAAAATAATGTAGAGGTTTAAAGTAAAACCTAAGGTTAATATATCTCGAAAATATTCAAAGTTAAAACAAAGCGTTCTTTGTTCAAAAAAAAAGTTAAAAACTAGGAGTACAGATAAAAATAACATATAACAAAACAAGTCAAAAACAAAACAAAACCGTATTTGTGTTTATAATTGTAGATTCGTTTGAACCTGGTGAGAATTTTCTACCCGTACATATATACACATGTACACAGACAGACATTTCTAATAGTCCTGGTGGAAGGTTAAAGATTTATTTTTGTATTACGTTATTGGGATTCTTATGGAAGCTCCAAGCTTCTTTAATTTTATCTCGTATCTATGGTTTTATTATCCTAATAATAAAGTTGTTGACCAATGTTCAGCCTAAACTACCAACCGCATATGGTCCATTTTGCATATTATCTCCAAATGTCCCTTTTTAAAATAGTTTTCTTTTTTTTATTAGCAGTTACCTTTCACAAATGGCTGAATAAAGTTTATTTGTTTATTGTGAATTTCGCAAAAGACTACACGAGGGCTATCTGCGCTAGCCGTCCCTAATTTAGCAGTGAAAGATTAGAGGGAAGGCAGCTAGTCATCACAACCCACCGCCAACTATTTGGCTACTCTTTAACCAACGAATAATGGGATTGACCGTCACATTATAACGCTCCCACGGCTGAAAGGGCGAGCATGTTTGGTGGGACAAGGATTCAAACCCGCAACCCTCAGATTCCCCGTCACCAAGTGTGAAGAATAAATTGAAAAGTAAATATATATATATATATATATATATATATATGTTTTTCATACATTTAAATAAAGGTTATGAACTTTGACGTGGTACTACTCTTTTGTTCGCTAATTAGAATCTAATATAAATAAAAGCTAGTTGTCAATTTGTGTGTGTGTGTACTTGAAATTGAAGTTGCGCCATTCTTATTGATTTTTTTGAGAGTGTACTTGAAAAATGTTTTTATTTTCTCAATGTTTGATTGTTTTCCTTTTATGATGAAGGGGAAGTTTGGTGAACAAAGCTCGCTGAATGAAGGGCGGGAAATCCTCGGGGTATTTAATAAAACTCCAACCAGTCGGGCAAGACTAGCGCATATATATTGCTTATTTTAGATATTATCACGAAATATCAGAATTTACTTCAACGTTTCTTGATATAAAAATAAACGTTTTTGTGTGTGTGTGTGAATAAAGCAATTTTCAAATCCAAAACCTGCCCTGTCTTTGAATCAAAATGATGTTTATATTCAGAAACAAAATTTTTTATCTTTTATTACTGGACATCTAAAGAAATAATTATAGCTTGCACGCGTAATTTGTAATTGAGAAACATCACTGTTTGTAAGTCTGCGTGTGTTTGAAGCTCACGACCCAGTATTCACAAGTTTGAAATAAAGTTTACATTTCTCAAATATGAAGAGTTAACACTTACTTTTGCACTTTTTACAGCAGTCCAGTGGATACTCTCGATAGGTGTCGCCCTCAGCACATGGCAACACTGGGCATTTCTTTCTTCGACACATGACCCTTAATGTTTCAACCTGTTAAACAATTTTTTAACTTGATGACTAAAAAAAATATACCAATAATTACCTCACACTCGACTATATTTACTAAATAGCATCAAAATCTGACATCAGATAAGCGTGCATTTTGCTAGTAAACAGAAAAAGTCACGTTGGTTCACTTACGTCACACTTGCAAATAACACATCGTGAAAAGCCAAAGGGAGGGATATAGGGATGCCATCTGGTGCCAGCTAGATGAAACTTCTTGTCTCCGTGAAAGTAGCAGACTCGAGGTTCAGAAATGTTGTTGTGGGGATAATGGTCATCTTCTATACACATATTGAAAAAACCAGACAAATCCACGTGTTATAATATCATGAGGTTAAACTCTTAAATATCTCTTAGTTCCTATTATTATTAGTGATAGAGCTATGGCCATTATGACATAGCTTCTACTAGAAGAGCTGTTAAAATTCTACAATAATAATTACAGTTAATAATAATCCTAACTGAGAAATTACCAAAATCTCCTATGACTACTCTACCACAGGTCATCAGTTGGGTACACTCACTGCTAGTGGTTCTTTTTTTTTTTGGTCCCTAACCCAAGAACACCTAATGAAAATGAGCCCACTTATCAACATTACAGCTACATCATGGAGATGGAATTTCTCTAGTTAAACAAACTATTCTGTGAGTGTTAGGTATTCTTGTTGTTAGTTATATTGCAAAAGCCATCATGTAAAAAAAAACAATGGGGAAACATATTCAGTGTCCATTGTTATTCATAAAACAAGTATAAGCAAAAAAAAGGGGGGTAGGGGAGGGGGAGGACGTTACTAAAATCTACATCTTTTACAATAAGGGTTATACTGATCTTGTCTATGAAGCGATCGATGCCTTGTGGTGTTATGAGGGATAAACTTTACTAGGAATGTTTATTTTCAATGATTTTAATACGGTAATAATGCAAAATAGAGAAATTCAGTGCAGGTAGTCAACTGGAAATTCACAATACAGTTCTATAATTGACAATATGAGTATTAAAATAGTGTTAAGTCCAGTAACAACATCAATGTCACAAAGATATTAGCACACATCTCTTAGACAAACGAACTGATTAAATGATAGTACAGAAAACGTTATCCGTTTCCTCTAAACATCGATAATGAGAGTTAGATTTACCTCAAGACCTGTATCAGTATTCGCCATCCGTATTGATTAGTGGCTTATACCTTATGCATTAAAACAAAGAAACAAACGTATGTTAACATGTAGAACAGATCTCGATAACCATAGTGTACAGTGGCAAACATACGTATCTGATCATGGTGAACACCACAGGTTAACCATAGTACATGGTGATTCACACTATGTATATATATCAACATTGAGTGAAATGTACCTGGACAAGTGGAACAGCACAGGTTAACTACATCACATGGTGATTCACACTATATAAATATAAACATTGAGTGAAATGTACCTGGACAAGTGGAACAGCACAGGTTAACTACATTACATGGTGATTCACACTATGTATATATAAACATTGAGTGAAATGTACCTGGACAAGTGGAACAGCACCAGTTACCCAAAGTAAATGGTGATTGACCCTCGCTAAGTATAAACTGATAAAAGAATACATGGATGGAACAGGATAGATTGATAACAGTAAGAGGTGATCCACATCCTTTAAATATACAAACTGAAGAACTGGTTAACCACAGTAATTCGTCATTCACACCCTATTTAACAATGATTGACTATTGTCGGCCTCCATACATAGAAATAAATAGAGATGGAAACTTACCTAGGCACACGGGACAGACCGTAGCGATAATGAATGGTTATTTTCTATTCCAGACATGAATACAGAGCTAGAAACTTACCTTGACACACGGAACAGACCGTAGCGATAATGAATGGTTATTTTCTATTCCAGACATGAATAGCAGAGCTAGAAACTTACCTTGACACACGGGACAGACCGTAGCGATAATGACTGATTATTTTCGACTCCAGGCATGAATACAGAGCTAGAAACTTACCTTGACACATGGAACAGAGCATAGCGATAATGACTGATTATTTTCGACTCCAGGCATGAATACAGAGCTAGAAACTTACCTTGACACATGGAACAGAGCATAGCGATAATGACTGATTATTATCGACTCCAGGCATGAATACAGAGCTAGAAACTTACCTTGACACATGGAACAGAGCATAGCGATAATGAATGGTTATTTTCGACTCCAGACATGAATACAGAGCTAGAAACTTACCTTGACACATGGAACAGAGCATAGCGATAATGACTGATTATTTTCGACTCCAGAGAATGAATATAGAGCTAGAAACTTACTTGGACACATGGGACAGCACTCATTAGCCACGTTGATCGGCGATTCGCATTCACTTGGAGGGCAAATGATCCTGTCGCATTTTATCTTTCCTCGCTTGATTTCAGCCACAGAAAAGTAAAGCAAATGATCGGAAAATTTAAAGGTTGTAAAGATAAATTTACAATAAGAATGCCTTAAAGTAAAATGGGCCACCAGATTTCTTTAACACAGGTCAAAACACAATAAAGCTTGAACAATCAGCATTAGAAATATATTTGTGTTGTATAAATGGATATAATCGTTGCAGCTCGTTTAACAACACGACTAAAATTAGTTATCTTATAAAGTAAAAACGTTAAAAAATCAAGTTTTTGAACAATATTTCAACAGAATATATATTTTTGTATGACAGGTTTGATGTAAAGGTTTGCTCAGAAAACATTTCAACTCAGCCACTTTGTAAAACAATTCTTAGCAATTTTTCACCCTTGTTAGTCTAAATTAATATGAATAATCGTTTTGAAACGTAAATTAACCTTATGATATAAATCATACTTCCTAATGATATAGTTACATCTTTTCACGTGCATAATCACTATCTTATGTGACTGAAAAACATCCTAAATAGTTCATTTTCGTGTAATTCACAAAACATTTTTTTCGTGAGACAAAAAATAGAAACTTAAAATGAGAATAAAATCGAATCGTTCGTACTTTACAGAAGCACATGACACAGGGATCATGAGAGAAGGGCCACTGATATCCATCTTCGTATTCTTCTCTCTCAAAGTAACATTTGTCGCGTCCCGCAACAGGACTTCCTGAATCACTAGGAATGGTTTTGTTTGTTTTGCCTTCTCCAGACAGGCAGACTTGGGGTACTAGCAGCTACATGGAGAAGGAAAAAAAGCTATACTGTTTCAATAGATTGGCTTATTAAATTATTATCATTTTATCCATTTTTGGTTTGTTTAAACAAACCAAAAATGGATGAATTGGGTCTACTAAACATTATAGAACCAGTTGTATTTAAAAAACATTATAGAACCAGTTTGAATTGGGTCTACTCAAACCAAAAATGGAGTATTTAAACAAACCAAAAATGGATGAATTGGGTCTACTAAACATTATAGAACCAGTTGTATTTAAAAACTGGTTCTATAATGTTTAGTATACCTAATTCATCCATTTTTAGTTTGTTTAAATACAACTGGTTCAATAATGTTTAGTAGACCTAATTCATCCATTTTTGGTTTGTTTAAATACAACTGGTTCTATAATGTTTAGTTGACCTAATTCATCCATTTTTGGCTTTTTTAAATACAACTGGTTTTATAATGTTTAGCACATATAATTTCTTTATGGGAATGAAAGAATAAAAAGAGAGAGAGATTACACATCACATTATTCTCAAGATAGTCCTAGAATTATTCATGAGACTTTGAGAATGTATATATATAGGATCATAAAAGAAGCCATCAACAACACGGATAACACAAGTAATTTAACTCGTGGAACCTTTACCAGCAAGATCTCTCTGCTGAACGTTCTCTGTCTAGAATTATAACGCTTTTTATGTAATGTCGTTGTTTGTAAAATACGGAGCAATCGATACTATTAAAACTTAATCACCTTATATATTCAGAAAACGTACTGGTGGTAAAAATCTAACGTACGTACTAAAACTGGTGTTTAATTACTAAAATTATTATAACAAGCTACAATATATTTATTGTACATATAACTACAGGTTAAACGTCGTACCGGGTGAATGTATGAGTAATACCAATGGCACTATAGCTATTGCAATAGAAATAACTTAAATTCAAGTGTAGCAAGATAGTCCAATTATATGGTGGCGAGCATATACACTATCAAAATATATATGAGCTAAATAAGGCCTAGTGACTAGCGTGCTGGGACTGTGGCTCCGAAGTTCGAGCCCCATTACAACAACAAATGGCGCTTCGCACTTTGGGATGGTGAATACAATACAAGAGTGACGGTCAAATCCCATTATTCAATTAGAGTAGCCTAAAAGATGGAGGTGGGTTATTTCGACTAGCTGCCTTCCCTCTATCACTTCTAAATCAGGGACGGCTAAGCACAGATAGTCCTCGAGTAGGTTTGCGCAAAATTTAAACAAAACAAACAGAATATAGACTGTACATGACAAAGTAAATCTGCTAAAATATAATTTTAATGTTATTTTTATCAATATCTACAACGAACATATCCTTAATATAACGCCATAGTCTGTTTCAAATCGGTTTTGGAAATTCGAGTGATGGAAGGACGTTTTTCAGTAAATACATAAAGGTATTTTCAACCAGAAAAGCAGTAGCTTGTATAACATATGGAATAAACGGTCAGACCACTGATCCCTAACGCTCAGGCGTAGCCATCCCTACCTTATAACTTCTAATAGAAGGGGAGGGGGCGACCAGTCAGTAACCTGCTGTTTATTATGCAGCTACTCTACCGAATATTAGAATTGTATATCATAGTTATGACGTCACTACATACAGGTGAAAGTGTGAAGTATATTTATCGAGATAATAAAACACGAACCACGAACTTTCCACTTAGCAGCCCAGCATGCTAAATACAATAACTTCCTCTTTGTGTTGTTTTGTAACATTAATTAAAATCAAACTTGGTAGATATCTTAAAATACAAGACTAAACCTCCTACCATTATTCTGCATATGTGAAGTGCTAAAAAAATACTACCGAGTAGACAATTATGAGAAGGCACTTGTTACGACCACATGGAAGACTTAATGATAACATTTGTGAAAGATACTACACCGTCCATGTACAACATGTAGAAACACGTGATTTTGTTTTAGACTAAATGTATAATCCTTCTGTTATACTATAACTGTGGAGACATTAAACTTAACTAGCCCATATGATAATAGCAGATGTATAATCGTAGTACAAGTCCTACGTAATGTAATACATATAAACAATTTTATCAAATCGGGATTTGTCACGAAAACAATTTAGACATCATTACAACAGAAGTAAATGGTTGTGGATGATGTTATAAGAAATACTAACATTGGTCAGTTGAGCCTGAAGATCTACTGTCTTTCCAGCGCCTTTAATTTTTGTGATCACATGAATCCAACTTTTCCCATTAGCAAGGTTTATGAATGTATTCCTGGTTAAATCTTCGAGTACGTCACCAACCTGCAAATTGACAAATATATATACACAAACAGAAGTAATACAATGTCAGTTTATACGAGTAACATAAATTGTACTATGCTGACATATGACACGTAGAATAAAAGTCTGATCGCTAAATTTTAATTTAGCTTTTACATTTCATGCATTCAGTTAAGTATGCACTTTAATAAGCTTGGCATATGCATGAGTAAGAAAAAGACGTTCAAAGCAAATACGTAAAGCTTTTCGTTTGTAATGTTTCTAGTACATGGACTGTAAAATGGTTATAAAAGGTGAAAATCACTGTATGTTTTATTTGAGTAACAGACATGTCATATCATTAGTATGGTATGGTTATTTGTGGAATAACATATCATAAGTCAATCATTATGAGAGTGAAAAACGAAAACATCACTGCTGGTGTTTGTATCTCTGTCTGTTTGTCCTTGACGAAAATTCAACCGTCTGATCTTTGATCACCATGAAACCTCCAGGAAGTCTTGAGTATAATGCAGAAGGATTCCAAGACCTCTTACTTTAATTTTTTTATCAGGTTTACGAGTTTTACAATCATTTCAACTTTCTCCCTTGCTACTGCCGGAAAATGACGCACGTACATGCCATCCCCCTGTCAACCTTAACTCTTTTGTTTCTTACAAAGCACAAAGCTGCATCCACTGCGGGGATTGAGCCATAATATTTGAATTATAGACTCTGAAGTTTACCGCTTAGTTAGTTTCATTAACATATTGATTATTATGACATAAACAGGGATCTATCATTACTAAAGTGCAATGGTTATTATGATATTAGTACACAGACCAGATTATTAATATAAAGCAGACATCAAACAAATAAGAGGCAGGTTGTATAAATTGACAGTACTGGAAATAATTAAGGAAACGCAGAGGTGATACGCATACATCAGTTGTAAATAAGGAGCGACTGCAACTAAATGGTAGTTTCTCATTATTACAGTACTTTATAACAAAAATATAAAACAATCAAATAATTTTACAATGCACTAGTATTATATATTTGCTTTAAATACCTCGTTTTTATTCTACCGTAGGTTTATCAATAATTGAGAAATATATTTCCAAATTTCCTGTATACATAATTCAGCCAAGCTATGTGGTTGCTGTATGACCTTCTCATAGAACTTTAATATTCATATCAGGACTTGATGAAGGCCAAGCTATGGTTGCGTGTGTTCCATTGATTTCTTTTTAATCCAGGCATAATTTCACCACATTTGTTGCATGCTTGAGATGACTGGTTTGTTCCTGAGAGAATGACATAATGGATACGAATTTGCATGTACCTATCAACAGTCAGGGTGCCATCAATTTTGTGTTACAAATCTCCAATACTATTGGCTGAGATGCAGACCACACTTGTATTGGGTTCTCAGCCCGCTTTGCTGTCGATCTTGTATGTTAATCGTGATACCATTTTCATCTCTGCCATAAAACAAACTATTGCTGATTGTTACCAAAACCTTTACATGCTCATCGTGTACCATTTCTGCCGTGGGAGACATGGATGCATTCATATTTACAACACTACTGCCGGACATAATATGACCACCTGTACTTCTATAATCATTATAGTGGTTCGGCACCGTCAGATTGGTTGGTTGATATCCATTCACAGTATGAATTATCAACATGTAACTTTATTCTGGTGCAGTTAATTTTTATTTTAGATAGTAGGGGCGGAGTAATCTCATAATATTTGCATTTTATACCTACTTTATTTACCACTCCTAGAATTATTTCTAATACCATGTGTCAGCAGCTGCTCTGATATGGGAGTAATACTGCTTTAAGCTGCTATATGAATTTTCTTGCCTAACGTGAACTCAGTATGTTTGATATCATATACTAAAAAATCAAAGATATAGAAACCACATCTAACTCGAAAGCTAGACAGCTACAATACTCATTCGAAATTTAAGTTATAAATGTGTGATTATAAGTAAAAAAAAAATTATGCCCAATTTCCCAACTGACGTCCTGTAAATCCCCGCTGGGTAATATTCTTTTAAACTATCTACTTTTAATGAACTAAGGTGAACTGAAACTGTACTTCTCAGCTGGTCATAATATGGGTTTTGGTTTTCTTACCTGGTGAAGAGTAATATACAGTATTACACAACATGCATGGTGATAAATAACTCACCAGCTTATATTAAAAACTGTCACTTTATACATACGTATGTACGCTCATATGTTATTACTTGGGAAACGAGCTTGTATAAAAATATGATAATATGCTAAGATAAAATAGTTATTAGGAAAGCAATAAATGTGAATAAACAATGTGACATTAATATAAGATACACGTCACGAGACTATTAGATCACGTAATTACTAATCACTAAACGAACAACGTATCGACAGAGAAATTAACTTTATAGTTTCTCAATACTCACTTCTTCACCATCAAACTTCCTGAGAACTCGTTTTCTATTTCGTTTATGACGATTGATTGGAACTTCCATTAGTTCCACCAGATGGCGTCGGCGCTTTCCGCTCGGATCGTTTTCTTCATCACTAGCTAGACCACTGACAAAGACTTGGTAATGTAGTCGACATAAAAGATCTATGTGAAGCCAAACTTGACCTGCAGCTGAAGTATTCCCATGAAGAAGGAACGGGCAGCCTTAGTTGGACGAAAGAAACACAATTCATTTCAAGTTTAAACTCATTGCAGTTGATATTGTTACGTACTTTGTGAAAATAATGTTTAAACTGTTTTGTTACTGTAATAATAAAAGAACACGATATGGTGTGTAGCAATTAGTGAGAGAAAAAACAACAATATCTTTGTTCCTTCGTGGACAACAATGCCCTGTCCATTGCGGAAATTTTTAGTGTTATAAGCCCTCGGACTTATTGCTAAGACATTGAGAGAACCTAAATTGATATAATATCTATATAGCAAACTATTCCTTTATGTCTCTTACTGTGTGTGAGAGTATTGCTTTTACGTAACAGTGTCTTGCGCAGTTGAAATGCTTGTTTAACCTGCAGACTTATAAAGTAGAAAGATAAATCACACCCTTCGGAAAAAAATGAATATGTTGAAGCCTTACAATAAAACATTGGGTTCACTTTCTTTCTGTTCGTTACTCCGGGTGAAACATTAAGAATTTCAGGTAATGATTATACAGCAACTAAAACGCTAATTGGTGTTTAAGATATGTTACAGCTGAAAGACCCTCAACTACACGGTGATTCTATTACAAAAAAAAGATAATATCTATTAATGTTTTAATTAAATCGGATTCTATAATGTCACCAGTTGCCTTGACACCAAATCAGACAGCTAATAAATAGTATACTACTACATTCGCCAATCACGTGTCTTCCAAGAACAAACTGTCACTCAAATTTCTTACTTTACCTGTTTTGTTTACTTAATATTAAGCCAAAACTTACGCTCTCATTCATTCAAACTTCATTAGGATAGTGATCTCATGTTACAATTACTGCCGGCAGAATACGACTTTAATCAATTGGTTAACTTATAATATTGCTCTCGACTGGAATTAGATGGTACGATTCTGTTTGTTTGTTTTAAGCACAAAGCTACACAATGTGTTACCTGTGTTCTGACCACCACGGGTGTCGAAACTTGGTTTTTAGTGTTATAAGCCCTCATACATAATTGGTAGGTCAGATATGGTTCGCAAACTTGCCGAGTTAAATGAAAACAGTCAAGGAGTTACTCCTAAGATACTAAAGGATTATGACTGAAATATAAAAAACTGTGTGTGTGTGACGGAACCAAAACTTCGCTTGACTGCCGTGCTTCTATTGGCAGATTTAGCAACCGTTGCATATTTATAAATGCTAACGTTTTAGTAAAACATATACTATATTGTGTCGTCTGTTGAAGGTGCTGAAAGCTATCAATTGGTATTCATTTCCGTGATGGCGCTTTGAAATAAATATATTTTATTTCTATTCGAGTTTTCAATATTGTAAACCATACAAAATTCTGCGATAGTCGCACACAATTGTGTGACAGTTATGGTAGGTTTATTTGTCATTGATAGCATGAATCATTCAGTTACTGTTTATGTCTCTGATAAATTCTGCGATAGTCGCACACAATTGTGTGACAGTTATGGTAGGTTTATTTCTCATTGATAGCATGAATCATTCAGTTACTGTTTATGTCTCTGATAAATTCTGCAATAGTCGCACACAATTGTGTGACAGTTATGGTAGGTTTATTTCTCATTGATAGCATGAATCATTCAGTTACTGTTTATGTCTCTGATAACTATCTCTTTGAGTCTTTGTGTTTTTAATTCTTTGCCTTATGAGTCTCCGACGTCTACCATAGCTACAAGAGTTCTTCGCTGAAGAAACGACGTCAAGCGTTTCAAAACAAAGACGCTCAATATATTATATATATTTTATATTCAACTGTTTGATAACTAAAGTTAAAGTCTCACATAAAATGTGGATATACTTATCATGCATTCAAGATACTAGTAAATATTCTAACGTCATTTTACAAGAACGTTTCAAAAATTATTGACGAGTGCAGCTCCTCACAAAAACAGAAAGTAAAGATTGTTTTGTTTTGTTTTTACTGGAAAGTATTCTATCTTTGATATCGCTAGACTGTATTCTGAGGGGGATGCTTTTTTTAGAGTTTTCCTTGTTTTTTAAACGTTTACGAGTTCCAAATTTTGGGCTTATTCTTAGAAGTCTGCAGCTCAGGTTGAAAAAAGAAAAGAAAAGGAGGACGAGAGACATTCTTCTCAGAAATGTCTTGCACAGTGACCTTCTTTTATCCTTACACTTCGATGAACATTCAAGCCGCTTGAATATCTTGTTCACGACTTTGGTTTCTTTGTTAAAGTTATTTTAATTCTTTTTGTACTCTTAAGTGAAAATATTATATTATGTAATATTTTACAGTACAAATGAAAGGATTTTGAAACAGATACTGGCTAGCATGAGCTCGTTTTCTGAAGATTTCCACAGACATTGTGTGAACTGAGATTTCGGGTTTCGTGGCTATTAACGTGCAAGTTAAATTCGTTATTGGTGCTGTATTTGTACAGCTAAGTGGCAATACTGTTATCCGCATTACATCTTCAACTCCGTGATCTCAGTTGTACCGACTCCCAAAGTTTGTGACTGTTGTTCATTAAGAGGAACATGTAAATAGTACATTGGTCCGATTGTTGTATGTAGTGCTGATACTGTGTTAGAAATGGTCAGTAAGTAATTGTAAAGTAAGAGCTGGATTATCTTCCAAATTGTAACGTATCTCTAATAGCGTTTGGAACATGGCCTCCTAGAAGTATGCGGTATGATTTTTTTCAAGTATTTGCTTTTTTTGTTTGGCAAAGATTGTAGAGTCGAAGACTTGAACACCTCTCCTTGGAGTGGGATTTAGAAATGCTAGGAGATAATGAGTTATTTCTTTAGGTGATGAGTCCAAGACACTTAAAGTGGATCTCAGAAGAGCATCACTCTTCTCGTGTTTGAACAGTTCTAGATGTTTCAAGCATCTTACCGACTGGATGTTGAACTTCAATAGCTTTAATCTCTAACTAGTCTTATGATAACTCTTTCTTTTGTCTGCAAAGTCTTTCCGTACTTTCATCAACTAACATTATTCAACAGCGAAGGTTCCAGTATATTTTAGATGATCTTGTCTATTGTAGCACTACAAGTATGATGCATGAATCAATAATTCTAACACTAACTATGTTTATTTTTCATTCATATATCAGTATTTTTAAATAAATCATTAGAAACACATAGAAAGGATCTAAATGGGAATATGAATGGACGATTATGCAAAGTTGCTCATTAACAGAGCGTATGATCAATGCTTTAGTATGTAATGACGTCATAGTATGCAACAGCTATGTAACGTGTGCTAAGGAAGTGTGTTCCAATAAATGTCACTGCTCCAGATGGTCAATACCGAATCAGCTCAAGTAAGACAACCCATGACGACTAAGTATGAAGTACTGTTCTTTCTGACAGCATGACACACGTGGAGCAGTAGCTTGCAATTGGGATTCAAAGTGCGATATCAACGTGATACAGATTAACTGTGAAATTATCAGTCAGTAAAGTGAGTGAAAAATAACATTTTCAAAGATAGAAATGTATAAGCTTTGAGACAGTCAGGCCCAGCTCGATATCACTTCTTTTTTAATTTAGAGATAACAAGTTTGCTACTTTTATCAGCAGGTAATATGATAATGCTTTATACTTGATGCTTTGAATAGTTTCTTTCTCAATGTTCTTTGAGGTTCTTTGGTGCGATCTTCTTTTGCTGCCAAGATAAGCCAGCTATATAGAAATCTTAATTCATCATCCGTATGTAAATATAATGGTGTTAATGGTATTAAAGGATCATTATTTTTAGATGTTAAGATGAAGTAACGATTATACAATGGGTTAGCTTTTCATTGAGGGAAAGGGGAGATTGTCAAAATAAATTTACAGTCTAGTATTATGCCTTTAAGTTAAGATTCGTTACTAAAAACAAAAACTTGTTTAACCGCAGAAAGGAACAACAACAATACTAAAAACCTACAGTTGAACTCTTTATATATATATATATATATATATATATATACATTTCAAAAATCTTAATTTTCCTGAACCTTTTCAATTCTTTGTAAATTAAACTGCCGTCAACAATGTGTGATATTCACAATACACGTCGTTTTGAAACTACAAAATTACATATACGGTGCCACTTACCATTGAGAAAAGCTTCAGTGTACAGTCTTTGTCGTATCCGCCCAACCAGCGCTTGTCGATGTTTGGTCGTCGTTAGCTGCAAGCTCAAGTCATCAAGTAGTAAACTTTCTGCAATTCTGGATGAAACCGTACTGAAGGTACCGTTAGCCTGTGGTAGAAACAACAGCAATAAATAATACAATCACTCCTAGTGTACTATTTTAATTGACAACACTGTTAACAGGAACAACTCCAAATGTCTTCGAATGCTCCCAGTAATAACCGAAATGCCCACAAATCGCTAGTGGTTATATCAACGTTCTGTAGGTCTTCAGTCAGTAAAAAGCGTTATAAAAATATTCCATTGTGAGTAAAATAAGTAAAGTATTACAAGACAAGGACAATTAATTCCGTGAAGTCTTGAATTTTTGAATTTTTTTGGTGGTGGGGGGGGGGAGAATAAGGATTTAACAGGCATTTACGTGATAATTGGTTAAGAGATACAGAAGTTAAAAAGTATTTAGGGTTTGTTGTTAAGCACAAAGCTACATATTGGGCTATTGCTCTGCGAACCGTGAGAATAGAAGTCAATTATTTAGCGTTATAAGTCCACTAATTTTACCCCCTGAGCCACTGGAGGACTAAATATTTAAGGAGGAAAAATGAGATTTTTTACAACAATGTTTTTAACTAAAAAGAAAAACATGTAAATAATGTAATATATCAATTACCACTGTTAGGTTGCATTGTTTCTTGTCTGCACAAAAAGAAAGAAAGAAGTTTACAATAATTACACTTGTGATGCGTAACAATGGCTATGTCTGCTTATTTCCTCAATAAAAGTATGAATACAACAGTTACTGATTCGCAAGAATGATGGTTATATTTTCGATAATTTTGCTAGATGAGTATCATAAAATTATTATAAATTTACACTGCTTGATACTGGTAGGTTAAGGTATTTACAATGGGGAAAAAAACACCCCAGTCAACTTATTAGCGCATCTTCGCACGGAAGTAAACACTTTCCTTAACACAAGAGCAGCAGACTTCAGAAGTGGAAGGTTCTCCAATGTTGGCAAAGTGTAGCACTAATGTGTCATTATACGGTAAATGAGCATCCTGTTTGTTTGAGTCAAACACAAATTTCCATAATGGGCTATCTGTGCTGTGCCCACCAAAAGTATCGAAACCCGCTTTTAATGTTGTAATTTTGTTTGTAGTTAAACATCAAATTTCACAAAGGGCTATCTGTGCTCTGCCCACCATTGGTATCGAAACCCGGTTTCTAGCGTTGTAAGTCAGCAGACATGCCGCTGTGCCACTGGAGGGCTGGTGTTATAAAGCTTTCAGACTTACCGCTGAGTCACTGTGTGTGTGTGTGTGCTAGTTATGATAACACAATATTATGTCTCGGTGTGGTAACCAAAAGTAGTTAATATATGTTGGGTAAAGTTAGTGTTCCACTGATATTAATTAGAATAAGAGTTACATATGATAATTAGTTTTGATAACAATAACTACAAAGCTATTACAATATGACGTGTACAGTGTGCTATGAAATACGGATTACATTGAAAATATACTGATCAGTAACTGGTTAAAAGAACAGTTGGAAATTAGCAGACAGTCCCTGGAATGAAGTAGGTTTGGACGACTGCCTAACACAGTGTGCTTGGTGGCGAATGTTGCACCTCTTATTTTAATTTTAGCAACAGCCACCGGAGGGCGGGCTGGTTGTGATATGACTTGTTGACAGAGGTTTTGCTTCCCAGAACTACTCCTGAAGGTCACAGACATCCTCGAAAAGAGAATAACACGGTTGTACTTTATAGTTGCAGTAAACCAAAATAATACTACTGAAGTTTTCATAAACCAACTTTTAAGACTTTGATGAGACTAAATTATAAACCACCAAATTATATCATTCATGACCTTGGAAATCTAAAGTTAAGATATTTAAGAAAGAAAAAGCTCAAGCTTGAAACTTAACTTATTAATATATGGACTTCACTACAGTTACGATCACTTTAATATCTAAAACAAAAAACTTTATGATATACACAACTTTAAAATTACTTTACAAGGTATTACCATCTTGATAAAAAATAATTTGTAGTTTCCATGTTTTCCATTCATCAATACAATTATTTCAGATATCGCAAGATTTCATATGGTTTTTCAGAATTTCACACAAATATTATCTGCGCTGAGCTGATAGATTAGAGAAGGTAGCTGGTCAACAACATCCACCGCCAACGCTCTGGCTACCTTCCTATATAACATACCTACGACACCAAAATACGGGACGAGTTTTTTGCAGCATCTGATCACGATTCGGAGTCTGCGTAAACTAATCACTTGGCCACGCCTAGCGTACTTTTATATGTAAGGGCCGAGTTTTTTGCAGCATCTGATCACGAGTAATAAATCTTCGGATTCGCAGTCTGCGTAAACTAATCACTTGGCTACGCCTAGCGTACTTTTATATGTAAGGGGCGAGTTTTTTGCAGCATCTTGATCACGAGTAATAAATCTTCGGATTCGCAGTCTGCGTAAACTAATCACTTGGCCACGCCTAGCGTACTTTTATATGTAATACGTATTTTTATAAGTTCTTTGTTTAAATACCGATGGTCTAAAGGATAAAAACACTCGTCGCATTATCGATATTTCACTATAAAAAATGTGAATTTATCTATTTGTCATATTCATCACTTGCACGTGTTTTATTTGCTAAGCAGGGGAGGGGGTAAAAGAAAGTTATTATGGTAACTTTGTAATAAACCGTAATCATAAATATTAAAATATACAACAATAACAAAAGTATCTTGCTGACCGGTAGTATTGGATTTCACAGATTATATTAGACTTATTTTTGAGGAAGAACGTACCCAAAAATCCCGGAAATTTGGTTTGTTCACTTCCGCCATTGTCTTCACGTCCTCTTTGCTTGGACCTATCGTTGTAAGAGCCAACTTTGCCAGAGGACTGGTCATTCTCTCGGCACGAATCTATCAGTATAACAACGATTTGATGTACGAGTTAAAATATTAAAGAATATATTTAAAGATATTTAGATCTGACTACCTTTAACATCAACATGTCCAACTTGACCAGTTGAAATTAGCCTTCATGAAAATGATTAATCCTTTCTAAAATGGGAAGTTCACATTGAACCAGTTATATTACTTGGAAATTTGTAAGAAAAGTCTATTAAAACATTAGGCATTATCCCTAAATAACTTGTTATTCAAAGATTAGGAGTTGAACCATTCTCGTTCAGCTTCTATCACTTAACTTCTTACGTCATGTTAACTCCAGGTATCAATCTTTATCATCATGTTTGTAAAACAACGAACAGGACAATATACCATCATACATACCGTGTAGGAAATCGACCCATCGCGCTGTAGAGACAAAACACCAAAACCAGTTGGTTGGTTACCAGCAAAATCTACTTCATTGGGGATAAGAACAGCCTGAACAACTAAACCAAAACGGAAATTAATAACGGATTAGTTATAAAAAGCAAGCTTTATATGGAAGAATAAGTGATTTTATATTCTTAAATTACTTATTTTTGTTTGTTCTTTGAAATAACAATAAATCTTAAACATGACAAGAAGCTTTAAAAATAAAACACCTAAACCGATTCACGATGTGAAATAAAATTGCCATTTTTTATCAAAGTAATTTGGTTTCTATTGATAAACGAAAATTAATTAGCAGTAATTAGTGTATTTATATACAAAGGTTTCATCAAGTTCTTGTTATATATCAAAACCTATAACAGTATTCCCATTGTATATAAATATTATTTATCAACCTCTTCACAAAGTTACTGTATTAATGTACGTTCCTTGTTACCAGTTCTATGATGTATTTGAATATTCTGGTTTTGGATTTTCATTGCAGAACGTAAATTCTGGTGAGATCTATTTAATGTTAATTCTTTACTGGCAGCCAAGCAGTGTCCCATATATATGATATTAGGCTTTTGAATATATGTGGTGTTTTGTCACGTGACTTTGTTAATGCTAAATCTTATTGGCAACCAAGTAGTATATGATGTATGTAATGTTATACTCTCTACTATCAGCGATGTCGTGCTTTGTTGCATGATTTTCTATTATTAATTTTGTATTGGTAATCAAGTAACGTTTCATTTAGATGATATTTTTCTGATGTTACTTCTCTTCTGATAATCAAGTGAAATACCCATTTTAAACCATTTTATGGTTAATATTATCGGTTGTGAAGTTTTCAGTTAGCGATTTTTATGTTACCTTTGTAACAGAATACAAATAATGACCTATTGAAATTTGTGCAGTGTCCTACCTTGCATTGGGAGGATTTTGTTTCTATTAGCTCACGTGTGGCAGCAATGTTCTTATCTTTTTACAGTAACAATGTTTTGGTATTAGTTCACATGAAACAGTAATGTTTTTACTTTTGTGTAGTAAGAATGTTTTATATTAGTTCACGTGTGGCATTAATGTAATGACTTGTTGTACACTTAGTTTGATTTAGTACTAATATTATTTCAACAAAAACAAACAAGAAATATGAATGAAAAATTACCTAAACAATCTTTTTTAAATCAAATCTTCTTGTTTATTAAATTTTTCAAGCGAACACGGCAATCAACAACAGTTAACGAATTATTTATGTATAAACATAGGTGTTGTTTGTTACATTATAATACAAAATGAACTTTATAAATTTTCCAAATTTTACAATTTACATTCGTAAGCGAAGCGATATTTTTTTAAATAATGCCAGACAAAACGTTTTACTAAACAATTCTCTTATTAATTGATTCAAGAAATACCAGGCCTTCGGAGTTTCTCACTGTACTCTTACGGCAGCTTCGTAAACTTGGACACGTATAAAGTTTTAATTTTGAACTTCTTACAACCTTGATTGATGAATATAACGAATACATAAATTATTAAGTTATTTTTTAGAGTACTTATTACCATGTGGTTACGTCTTGTGCTATTTACCTAAAATGCACTACTGCTAAATGCTTCATAGATTTATACACACTCCACCAAACAGTAATTTGTATTTTATTACAAACTGAAACACTACTGGTAGTTAAAAGGCTTGTACTCTCTACAAATGATACTCATTGTAAATATTTACTGATTACATATCACTTTCAGAAGCTACATCCAGGAGATTTTTGGTTAACTAAACACACTCACGATGCAGCTGAAAATGAAACCATGATATATTTGTTACACTACACAACCGGAAACTAACAGAATCTAAATTCAGGAAGTATTCCAGATCGAACAGTTGGGAGAGTAATTGAATTCAAACGCTAAATTCATGTATGTGATCAATATTAAATGGGTTTTAATAGTAATAACTGTTGGAATGAGAAATATCAGGAAAAGTTTTTAATTTCAAAGAAATAATCTGCTTTAGCCATAAGTATCAAATAAAGACAATAAAAATCGAATAAACTAACTGTTACAAGTCGTCTTGGGCAAAATTCTTCCTCGCAACACACGGTCGCCATCTATCGATGAAATTTCCAAAATCAGCTTCCCTTGAGAAAGCAAAGACTCGTCGTCTTCTTTCAAGTCTACTTTGACATCAATCGAATTATAGTCCTAATGGAAGAAAACAACGCGTTTTGCTCCTCATATTATGTTTTATAATTACTAGTTTTCAGAAACAATTAAATTGTAGATTTCATAATTTTACACAGTTTGCCATAATTACATATTATAATTGTTGTCATATCATTAAAAATGATTTCGAGATGAACAAGGAACATGCCGTATTTTTCGGAATATAAGACGCATCCTTATTTTGAAAACAAAGTTTTGGGGAAAAAGCTACAGTCGCATTTG